AGACCATCCTGGCTAACACGGTGAAACTCCGTCTCTACTAAAAAATACAAAAAACTAGCCGGGCGAGGTGGCGGGCGCCTGTAGTCCCAGCTACTCGGGAGGCTGAGGCAGGAGAATGGCGGGAACCCCGGAGGCGGAGCTTGCAGTGAGCTGAGATCCGGCCACAGCACTCCAGCCTGGGTGACAGAGCGAGACTCAGTCTCAAAAAAAAAAAAAAGAAATACCATTTGGATGTATATATTGCATCCAAAAAAAGCACTGAAAATCATGATACCCATTATATGAAAAATTGAACTAGTTGTAAGTATATGGGATAGTGATTTGTCATAATTGACTGCATTCCAATGTGTTAATGTGGTATCAAAAATTCTTAGTTCAAAAAAAAGGAAAAAATTCTTAGTCCATTTTTTAATCTAAATATTGCTTTAATAATTTGTATTAACAATTTTGGAGCTACTGCCTTAGCAGAGTAAAGTTTATCTAAACTAAAATTAATAAAAGTGCCATTTAATAACCCTTCTTCTAAAAAAACAGGCAGTAGGCCAAATTTGTCCTGGGGGTTGTACTTGCTGACCCCTGTCTTGGAAAATAAATTATATGCAAAGACACTAGGCAGGAAAGAATAGAAACAGTTCCTGTTTGCTTTGAAGGTTGGAAGTAGCATAGAATCTGTCATTACCTTTGTTGGGAATGTTCAAGGAGAGATAAGGCAGTTGCTAAAAAAGGGAAGATTTATCTGAGCCAGAGGAGAGGTACAGCTGTCAAGTGTGCCTGTGCTAGGGAGAGAGTGAAGTAAGGTGTGGAGTTTCCACCAGAATCATGGGGTTGTCACAACACAAATATGCCATGGCTGGTCATCTGGAATGCCCTTGAGACAAAGTATTATGTGTTCAAAGGGAGTAGACATCTCCCTCAGAGAAACTTGAAGATAACATTTTAAAATGTTCTATTGAATGTGATTCATACATTTCAAAGTAGAGAGAAATAGGAGTAAGAGGTGCAGTGAGAATTCTTTACCTACTTCCTTTGACCACATAGGGTTGTCTGTTATAAAAGAAGTTGAAAAGGAGATGTGAGATCAAATATCCATCATTGGCTCTACAAGAAAAGGAACTTCACTGAAGAGAAGTCAACTGAGTTTATATTGTAAGGAGGCAAGAGAGGGTCTGGCTCCATGTGCAATATTAACTAGCATTTTTAGAAGCTAGTCTGGCTGGTCATTCCAAAATAACCAGCATTCTGTGAATGGATCCCTGTGACCACTGTCCCACTGTTCTAATGAGCAACAGGACCAGCTGCTTCTAATGTTGCCCCATCAGCAGTCCCACGAACTTCAGGCAGAGAAACAAAACTTTAGCTGGATGTGGAGGGGTCTTGTCACTTACAAAAGACAACAGAAGACACCAATGGAAATTATTTGCATTTAATTTATTCCCCAGTTCTTGCCATGAGCTCCTTTTTAAAATGTTGGAAGTGATAGATTTAGGGGGCTGAGGAACAAAATGTCCCAATTGGCCTCTGTGTCTTGCATCTAAAATTTGATTACTGTGTAAAATTTAAGGCTTATATTTCTGCACAAGAGGAGAGGAAAAGGAAAAGGAAGTGTTTGAAACACTGAAACTATAACTAGGTAGTTGATAAACAGATTCAGAGATGTATATATAATTTAGATATATAGATAATTTAGATCTATATATCTATCTAAATTTATCTATCTATCTATCTATCTATCTATCTATCTAAATAGATAGGTAGATAGATAGTCGGTCTTATGTGTGCCTTACCTTTTAGAGCTAATCCAAGCATCGATATACTACCAAAGCCAAGTCCTTAATCATTCCAGGAACATCATAGAAATGAAATGTGGAAAACTAATAATAATCATATACTTTGTGTGTGTATGGTTTTTTCCCAGCACATAAAGGGTTTGTATAAGCTAGTGGTCATCAAGCTGTTAGGAAGAAAACAATGAAATTAAAACCAAGATCTTCTCATTTCTATTCAAAACCTATTGTCCTTTTTTCTTTTTCATTTTTATTTTGCATTATATATTTAATGCTGTAAAACTAATGAGGATTCAATACTAGCAGAAATTCAGACAGAGGGATTCATTGTTAGTTGATTGTTAGTAATCCTTATCTCTGAAGCTATTTTCATCAATTTTTCTTTTGTGTACTTTTTCTTAGTTTCCAATGTTTTAAAAAAATGTGTTTTGATGCATAATTAAAGGAAACATCATGAATGTGTATTATTTTTAAAAATACTCATAGGAAATGAATACCAGCATCATTGAATAGTTAACACATGACAGCAAAACCTGCATGAATAATTCTCAGCTCAGAGACACTGGGAAATATTTAATTTTTACATGGTGGGGTTTTTTCTGTTACCTATAAAAGGTCACACATGATTGTATTCATCCCCCCTTTATACTGAGATATTACATCAACTTGTGAGGCCATTTTGTAAACCAGTTTGAAATATTGCTGGTCACTACTTATTATATAGTTACTTAAAGAACAGTGTAGAAGCTGGATGGGGATTAATTCCTTTCCTTCCCATCCTAAGAGTCATGGCTGACACCTGTATAATAATGACAGGTTAACAAGAGAAGAGGATAACAAATTTATTTGATCACAGTTTTACATAACGTGGGACCCTTCAGAATGAAGACCCTAGATACAGGGAAAGCAATCCTTTTTTTTTTTTTTTTTTTTTTTTTTTTTTTTTTTTAAAGACAAGAGTCTTCCTCTGTCACCCAGGCTGGAGTGCAGTGGTGCAGTCTGAGCTCACTGCAACCTCCGCCTCCCGGATTCAAGTGATTCTGCTGCCTCAGCCCCCTGAGTAGCTGGGATTACAAGTGCCTGCCACCATGCCCGGCTAATTTTTATACTTTTAGTAGAGACTGGGTTTCTCCATGTTGGCCAGGCTGGTCTCAAACTCCTGACCTCAAGTGATCTGCCCATCTCAGCCTCCCAAAATGCTGAGATTACAGGCGTGAGCCACCATACCCAGCCGAAGCAATCCATTTTTATACTTAGGTTCGATGAAGTATGAACAACTGTGTAGAAATATGATTAGACACAATGTGATCTAATGCTAACAGGCTGAGTGGGGAAACTAGCCCATCCTGCCTGTTCCGATTTTTCTCAGCTCCCCTGTGCAGCACTCGCACCTCCCAGGTAAGAGGTAGGATCCCTCTGGAATGAGGGTCTGAATTTCTTTATGGTCAGGTGTTATACAGAAAAGCGGGGGGTGGGTAGAGTAAATATTTAGGTGTTATGGCTAGCCTTGAGGAAAAGGCATTCTGATGTCTATGATCTGTCTTGGAAAAGAGGGATTCTAGTGTCTAAGATTTGCCTCGGGGAAGAAAGAGAGGAGAGACAGGAGGGAGGAAGGTCTGTTTCTGAGGCTGCTTCTTAGGCCTTCACTTTGGGGTGTCATTTACTGAGCCTGAACAACAGCATCCTTGTTTCTAATTTTCTCTGGGGGTTTTCTCACCTTTACCTTGAGAAAGTTTTCATGGAGTTTTGTGCTTTCTTATTCAAGGCCTTCATTTTAAATATCCCCAACAAACAAAGGGATACAGTAAAAATCATGCTGGCTAATTAGTAAAAGGCTAGTATGAATTAAAGGAAGACTCTATATTACAAAATATTGTTTTAAAGCATAGCTGTGTTTCTTGGAAGTTCATTGTTTCACCTGAATGTAGTATATCTCATTCTAATGAATTTGCTTTAAAGACCTGCCAGTGATGGTTTGTAATTATAGTATTAATTTTTTAAATTCAACTGGGGTCACGTAACAATTTTAAAATTTGACACAAATTCTAATTTGTTTAATTTTCTTACTTTAAATTCTTCATATAAAGACAATGAAAAGCTAAATTCAATAGTTGTACAAATCTAAATAAGAATACAACTTAAGACTTTTCTGTCATTACTAACACTATGGAAGATCTGATAGAAGGCATAAGAAAATACCGAGACCATCACAGTGCCTACACATAATAAGTATTCCACATATGTTTGTCAGGTGAGTATATGAGTTGTTATAATTCCCAGCATTACATTAAGGGAACAAGTAGATACGTGAAGAGAGTACCAGCAGCATTTTCCATTCTCCCAATTGTCTTCAGTTATTATAGCAGATAAGTTTTTAATCCTATATTTGTGCTAGCACTAGCATTTACAGGTTTCACCCTGATATATGGCCCAGTAACACACAATAATCTGAGTTCAGAGTAATTACTTGTATCACTCAACAGAATAGATCATTGAGGCACTGGGTGACCAGTTGACTTTCCATGTGATGAGATGTGATGAGAAAACAGCAAAGCTGAAGGTTCTACTTGGCTCCTCTGGAAGCCATATTTCTGCTTTCTCCTCCCTACATCACTTTCTTTTTCTTTAATGGAATTCTGGGAAGATGTGTGAGTCAGAGAATCTGAGTATGGAAGGTGTTGCAAAGATGTATATGTTGTAAAAAACTAAGGTAAACTATCATAACACATAAATAAACCATGTCCCTAAAGCTGCAAATATTTTAGCTGAGAGCAGTTATTATTACGCTCAATTATTTGTTAACCATCATGATGAAATGTCTTCCAGATGCATCTTTGCTTATATCAGCTTCTTTGCAAGCAGTCTGTAAGGTGGCTTAACTAAGAGTAGTCAGATTCTATTTATAATGTAGAATAATAAAAATACCCAAATCTATTCAGTCCTTTATAGTTCCCAAAGCTTTCCACATCCATCATCACATTTGGCCTTCTCAATAGCCCTGTGGAGTAGCTACAGATGATATAATTGCAGCTGGAAATGAAGACCATATTCAAATGGAGCATGTCAACCAATTTGCTAGTACAATTTTCTCCTATTTCTGTGACACAGATGTGAAAACAAACAAACAAACAAAAAAAAAAAAAAGAAAGAAAGAAAAGCAGAATGAATGCCAAGAAATAGCATGTGATTAGAAATGTTGTTCATTTCTTCTTTCAGTAAACCACAGAAAGATAACAAAGGCTACTGCGCCCAGTATAGAGGGGAGGTGTGTAATGCAGTCCTGGCAAAAGACGCTCTTGTTTTTCTCAACACCTCCTATGCGGACCCTGAGGAGGCCCAAGAGCTGCTGGTCCACACGGCCTGGAATGAACTGAAAGTAGTGAGCCCACTCTGCAGGCCAGCTGCTGAGGCTTTGTTGTGTAACCACGTCTTCCAGGAGTGCAGTCCTGGAGTAGTGCCGACTCCTATTCCCATTTGCAGGTAAAATCTCAAAAATAATTCAAAGGAAAAATTCCATTTTTCTATCTGCACAACAGAAAGAGTTTTTGAAAAATGTTGTAATGTGCAACAGTAAAAGGAAAAAAGCTGGTTTTCATCCAAAATAGGAGGTAGTGGCTGGGCACAGTGGTTCATGCCTGTAATCCCAGCACTTTGGGAGGCAAAGGTGAGTGGATCACTTGAGGTCAGGAGTTCAATACCAGCCTGGCCAACATGGTGAAACCCCGTTTGTACTAAAAATACAAAAATTACACAGGTGTGGTGGCGCACTTGTAATCCCAGCTAGTCGGGAGGCTGAGGCAGGAGAATCACTTGAACCGGCGAGGCGGAGGTTGCAGTGAGCCGAGATTGCACCACTGCACTCCAGCCTGAGTGTTGAGACTCCATCTCAAACAAAGAAACAAATAGGAGGTAATTAATCAGACAAAATGTCTATCATGCAAATCACTGAAGATAACCTAAAATACAAGTACTTAGAACCTCTAGAAAATGTCATAAATGGTGTAATATTCCATTACTCTTATTATTGCTCACATTATTATGGTATCCATAAATATCCCAGATTTCTATCAAATGAAAGGAGAAATCTTAAACTAACATGGACCTCATTAGTAAGCCAAGATAGAGAAAATAAAAACTGTACATTATTTGTCAATAAATGAGATCATGCCAAGCATTTCAGAATGTTATTTTAAAGTACATTCCATCCAAAATTCTAAGTTCTAATGCTGTTGCCTCATTTGGGTGGGGTAGGAGGGAATTATACTGTAAATAGATATTTTTTAAAATTCTCATACTTTTTAAATATTGAAATTGATAAACTTATGTTCAATAGAATTATCTTCACCTTTAATTACTCCTTATGTAGGAAAAAAAAAAAGAATCAATCTAATTTTTGAGCCAAATAGAACAAAGTTCAAATACTGTTAGTTCTGCTTTCTCAATGTGTGTGGTCTTGGCTAAACTTCAGTTTCCTCATCTGCACACTAGAATTGAGAGGATTAAAGGATAAATCACACTCATGGAGTATGTCAGAAACTAGATAGACATTGTTATTCTGAAATTTTCTGTTGAAGAAACCCCATGAAAACTACCAACACAGCACATTTCCACTATTTTGATAAAACCAGAAACTATTTAAATATTGCAATAATTTTAGGACACCCTCTATTTAGCATATAATAACAACAGTATGGTCATTAAATTAGAGTTCTGTGTTCCTCAATTTACTGCAAAGTTTGAGGGTTTGGAGACACTATAAGAGTAATATAATTTGTTTATTCCTCTAAGAAGATTGTATTGTGATCAGGCATGTCATCTAAAAATCTCTAGGGACTTCAGCATTGACGGAATAAGAAGGGGAAAGAGAAGGAGAGACAAAGTAAAGTTACTCCAAAAAAAAAAAAAAATGGGAAGAGTAGGTGAGAGGCAGTAAAATTTGTTTTAATAGGACTTAAGAAATACTGATGCTATTTCAACTGTCCTTGCAGTTATTTGAAAAAATAGTGCCTCTGTTAATTATCACTTCTTTAGATTTCTCCTCCTTGGGCTTCTTTATAGGATTCTCCAAAATTGTTTATTTGATGTACTGCTCATCAATGAAAATCCTTTTGCTAGAAAGTAGCACGTGTATAATAAACAGAAATGTAACCAGCAAAATAAAGTGAGAGTAGATTCTATCAGCTTTATCCTTTAGTACTACTAACATAATGTGTGGTGGCCACAGAATTGTTATCATACTTACACAGTGACACTCAGGCAAATCAGCTCAACACCATGGACAGATGCTTGAGAGAAATAATAATTAGATTAGAAAAATTCTTTGTGTGTGTGACAGCTATTGTGGTTTTCTGATTACACAACCCACAAGACTCCGTTGTATAAAAAAAGAACACAGTACTTTCATTGCTAAAACCCAGAGAGTTGGTCACTACTGAGGTGTGTGTTTACTTATGTTTACTTATATCTATATTTCTGTACTCTGAATTCTATTTCATTGATGGTTTCTCTATTTTTGCAGACTTTGGATTTAATTACTGTCTTTATAATTAATTTCAATTTGTGCTATGAATTTCACAGGTTTTCATCTTTTAAAAAATTCTTTACTCATATAATTATTTTTAATTATTACATGCTGACATTGGCAAAATGTTTCTAAATTTCATATTTAAAAATAACTATATAAATTATATAATAAAG